TACTATTACATCCCGGAAGCAATTACATAATTAGAAAAAAAATGCGAGAAAAGATAAATCTATGTTATTACATTGATAATGCGACCTATACAATTTTTCTAGAAATTAAAATGTAAAAGAATAAATAAAAAGAAATTAAGGAAAAATTAAAACTTAAAATTCTAAGTTAATGTTTTTGGTGATTTTTTTTATGAAAAAGTGATTTAGGATAATTAATTAAACCTAAAAAAACCTAATTAATTTTAATTAGTAAAAAATATTAATTTTGAAAAAAAGTTAATTAAAATACTTAAATCCTAATTAATTTTAATTAATAAAAAAAGATTAATTTTGAAAAAAGTTAAAAAAAATATAAAATTAATTAACCTAAAAATTAAATTAGGTTTTTTTGTAAAAAAAAGGTTTGTGAAAAAAGCTTTGTGGTTAAGTGAATTTAAGATTAAAAAAGACAAATTGGTTAGAAATCAAAAACAAACAATGAAATTAAAAACCTAAAGTTAAATTAAAACCTAAAATTAATTATTCGAGTTTAGGAGGAACAATCAAAGGTTTGTGAAAAATGTTAAGTTTTATGAAAAAAAAAAATTTAAACAGAAAGAATAAAAATAGGTAAAAGGATAAATAGAAAGGAAGAAAATCAAAACCAATAGGGGTAGTTGTTGAACTCACGCCCTTAACCTTCTCAGGATGTCTGCCTTGTCATACATTGGTGTCATGTGCTGGTTGTTCTGTTTTGGCCATTTGTATTTTGGGCTCAACGTTCTATAACGAACCTGCATGGGATCCTGTCTAAATCTGCAGTGTTGAATCTCATGAACACATTAAATTAATTACTATATATCATGAAATACAAATAAAGCCAATATATGAAAAAATTTAATGTTAAAATCGATATGACATGTATGAATAATTATACTCTTTTGATCAAGGAGATCAAACCAGTCTTACCCTTACTGCAGAAGTAGTGAGATGTGGGTTTGTAACAGTGATGACTTGTTTGTAGTGAGATGGGGATTTGTAATAAAGATTTCAAGATTTTAGGGTTCTTGAAAGAATTTGATATTTTGACAGCGTTGTGGCAAAGGATTTTTTTTTGTCTCCTTTTCTATTTGTGTGAAAAGAATGAGATTATATAATAGAAATTAGAGGGGGGGAAAATTGACTTTGAATGTGCAATTGGGTCTCCAATGTTCACTTGAGTTCGTCACGTTCCAGGCTAAATCGCAGGGGATTAAGTGCAATTTTTGAAGTTAAAATGTGAAAACAAAATGTAGCCGACATCGAGAACTAACTCCTATCCGAAAATGGGATCAATCGGATAAACGGTGAATTAGTTATGAATTTTTGAAGTTTCAGCCCAGACAAACTTATTTTGGGCTCCAGTGTCGACTCTGACACGTTCTTCAATAAAAAAACTGGTATTGATCGGAGCATAATCTGGTCTCGACTTTGGAAGCAAAGTTGTAGATCTCTGAGTCAGTAACCTTGTGTAAAAAGATGGGCCCGATCTGATAAAAATTGACCGAGTTAGAAATTTTCGAAGTTTCGACACAGATAAAATAATATTCAGCATTCAGGATTTTCGGCACGTAACGCGCATTCTGAGTAAAAAATGAAGGCTTTTTGGATACCGTTCGAACTCGACACCTCCTGTGAAAACTTAGCCAACTTAATTTTTGAAATTTTGGCACCGGAACCAACTCGATACGATGAAAATCGACCAAGTTATGATTTTCTGAACATGACGCAAATAAACTTCTGTCACAAATTTTCTGTACGAAAATACTTGATAAATCCGCATTTTTGAAGACCTTCTGATCGAAATTGGCTTCCAGCCGTGAGAGATGAAAACGTAGATGACGTTAATACGGAATTTTGGCCACCAGAACGGGTTTAAAAAGAGTCACGATCTTCAAGTTATGAATTTTTTAGCGTGTAAAAACTGTACCTTTAGCATACTTTTTCACCATATTTCTTTGAGAAAACTCACACATTCGGATACCTTTTTAAAGAATTGACTCTTGAGCCGAACCTGAATTTGAGAATACGTTATCAGAGATATCTTGGCGAAAGAACACCTGAATATGACGCGCCGGGTTGGACTTGTGAATCTTTGAACCCCGAATCGTTGCAAAACGGCGAACCGATCTTCAGCACGGAAAATACTCTGAGAATATCCATTGACGAAATAAACGTCACTTGTAACCTGAAGAAGCTTGATAAATATACCTTTATTCCATAACCATAAAACTAATAATATGTGTGTATGAAAAGATGACAAATTTTGGGGTACAACAACGTGCATTCGGAGTCGTGCCTTCGGCGCCTTATTTCTCAATGCTCCAAAATGCAACAAATACGTACAAAATGAATGGAAAAATATCAAACAGTACACTATGTACACAAAAACACAAATAAATACAAATTAAACGTATTTACACCAAAGTCGAGTTTATTCAACGATATTAATTAATAATAAATAATCGATAAGTGCAACAAAAAATATATACAAAAATAATTACAATTTGCACTTATCACCTAGTAAAAAGAGAAAAATCAACTAATATTATGTGATAGAAGAAACTTTGCATTGAAAAGGATTGTGAACCCCTTTATTGAAATGTGAATATGAGTATTCTCTTACACCATAGCAACAATATACTCTTTTCTAAGAAGATAACATGCGCCATTTGAAGATATATTATTCAAATTGACAATATAAGTATTTCTAATTCTTTGACAAGTAAAAAGCTATGTTTGTTTTAGATTTTATGACCTTTGTATATAGAAGAATGAAATACTACTTCATTACCTTTATCACACATTTTAATAATACTGAGTTAATTGCATTTTAAACTTTTAACATGTAAGACATCTTTAAAGGTAGGATTAGGACTCTTACCAACAATACTATAACCAACAATTTCATCTTTGTTGTTATCACCATAAAAGACATAACCTCCTTTCTTAGGAGTGAAATATGAAAAAGTGTTTTTGTCTCTCCTCATATATTGTTCACAATCATTATTGAGATAGCATTTTTAGTCTGAGACGATAAAGCACGTCTGCACCACAAATTTAAGTCTTGATATTTTATACTCAAATTATTTTGGGTCCTTTAGATTTATTGTAAAACATGTTGCCTTTTGAAATTCATTTTCTTGTGACATTTGTTTCATGATATTTTCTATGCAACAAAAAGAAGAAGTGTGACCATGTTTACCACATTAAAAATATTTGGGCATAGTATGATTAGATGTCTTATTTTGGTGACTATAATTTTCTAAACAATTTAGCATTATTTTTTTTTGTTGATAGTCCATGTCGACTTTATTGTAAGTTCCTCTTTAATTTTCTAAAATAATTAAGTTTTCTCTCCCTCTTTGATAAATTTATCAAGAGTGTTATGCAAGTATTCAATTTTAGTTTTTAAGATTTTGCATTCTTTGTATTTGCTAGATTTTTATTTTTATTTTTAAAAAGAGTAGAAAGAGAGTCTTTACAAATAAAATTTGTTTCTCTATAAGAAGTTATAATTCGTTGATTAGATTTTCATTTTCAGTTTCAAGAGTGGAAATGATTTTTTTAGAGATAAAAACATTATTTCTTAATTTACTTGATTCATCGTATAGATCTTAGTAGATAGAAAGAAACTCATTATAGGTAAGTTAAGTTTCAAAATTATTTACCTCTTTTTCTTTGTGGTTTCTTATAGAACATAGGTTGGCTTCTTCCTCTTTTTAGTTTTATCTTATTAGTACATGTTGTAGTCATCCCGAGTTAAATAAGTTATTTCAGATTGTTTTTGTGGACTTTTATATATTTCAGATTTCCTTGGTTATGCTGTTGGTTTTATGGGAATTTTTTAGCCGCATTAAAAGCATGTCACAAAAAAAGGATGATATTTCTTAACTTTTTTTATAGAAATTTTAGTGGTTATTTATTCTACCTTATGATTTTTTTTTTTAATTTTTACATATTGGGTATTTTCATTAGGTTTCATTCTTAATAATTTATATTCGTGGATTAATCTATTCATCCTTATACTATGTATCTCTATACTATTTTCATGAGTAATTTAAAGGATATCTCACATTTCTTTAACAGTGTTACCGTGTGATACTCGAAAAAAAAAAACCAATTATAACTAAAAGATAGTGATGATAGTTTTTTATTTCAAACTATATTTCACTTTTTCTTTATTTTCTTTGATCTACAGATTTTCAGGTTTGTCCACTGCTATATCATTAAATTAATTAAAGGGGACAAAATGATTATTTTTAACATCATCCCAAATAATTCATCCCATGAATAAATAAGTTTCCTTTCTCTTTCTAATTAGAATACCATTCACCAAAGATGGAGGTTTGGTTAATGAAGATGGTTTTGTATTAGTTATGGACTTTGAACAATCACTATTGATATACAATTTTGAGTTCAAGATTGTATAAACCACCGCATTGCAAATTTAAGTTAAGATAATCAAATCGTTTTGGTTTTTTTTTAATTAATGTAAAACATAGTTGCCTTTATTGAAACCCATTTCCTTGTCACATTTGTTTCATGATATTTTCTTATATAACATAAAGAAGATGTGTTATCATGTTTATGACATTAAAAACATTTAGGTACGGTGTGATTAGAGGTTCTATTTGGACAAACCCTTAAGTGAAATATTATATAAATTATATTATATTTTTTCTATAATAAAGTGACAATCAACTAGAGGCTCGTTTTCAAACTCTTTCATTTAAGTCAAATTTCTATTCCATTGACATTTGAGTTCACATATTTCCTCAAGTTACAAAAAAAAGTTTCAAAGTACTCTAACATCAAATAAAAAAATTAAAATACAAATTCTACATGCTAATTTAAAATTGAACACAAATCGAAGTTAAAAAAAAAGTCAGAATCACTAGTACTCACTTCCTACTATAGAAGCTAACTAGGAAAAAAAAAAGTGCTTCTAAATCCTAATATGTAAAACTAAAAAGGACTAATTAAGTGTAACACTTGGTTGTTGTAGAATAATAACTAGAGGGAACATCAAAAGGACAAAATGAAGTATCCCAAAGCAAATTTGACTTCCATGCATCACCAATATTGAAATGCATCAATTCTTGTTCATCAATACGAGGCACATTCACATTGTAATAAGGAGCCTTTACCAATGCATTATTATCAAATTGGTTATCAAATGTACTTTGCATTTGCAATGAATAGTCACTAAATTGCTCTTGCAACCCACTATTGAAATTTGTAGTTGTAACCTCATCACATGTCTTGCTAAAATCACCAATCATTGAGGATGATGATGACATGCTCAACAACATTGATGAAACATCCATTGTGGATTTGGAAGTGTTATTAGATGTTTGTAGTTGAGATGGTGAGAATATCAAGTTTGTATTAAGATATTCATTTGAAATGGGTAAGTGGTGATTAGTTATGGATTTATAAGAGGTAAGATCAACATCAAAGTTTTGGCTATTATCATTGTTGTTAGTGAAGAAGTTGTTTGATAAGGTTTCTTTCTTTGTTTGTGACATGTTGTCTGAACGAAATTGGTTGATTTCTTGATTTTTGGTTAGGATAGAGGCTCTTGTTTCAGAAAGAGAAGAAACCCAAGAGTGCGATAAAGCTCTTTGAGTTGTAGAATTTGTTTTCTTGAATATTCTGCAGATAGCCCAAGATTCCTGAATGTTAATCAAAAGATAAGTTAAAGAGACGTTTATAATGAGACAAATGGAGTATCATCTACATGAGTCATTTTCTACCGTGATCTCTATAATATCAAATATTACATCGTGACTGTGACTATTATTTAAAAAACTCGTTTAAAAATGATAACTTTGCTACGATAAAAGTTGAATAAGTTAAATAGACATTTATAATGAGACGAATGACCAATGTTGACTTTGTATTAGTCATTTTCGACTACAAATCTCTACAATGTCAAATATCACATCATGACTTTGCTATGATAAATGTTGGATAGGTTAAAGAGACATTTATAATGAGACAAATAAAGTATCATGCAAGAAATGTTGACTTTGCGTGATTCACTTTCAAGCTGAATCTCCATAATAACAAATGCGTCTGTTATTTAAAACCTTGCTTGAAAATAACAACTTTTCGAAGATAGGGTTAAGTTTTTTTACTCACATTAGCAGGAATGGTTTTGTCGAAGTACTTCTTTGATGAAAGCGGATCTACGAGAGAAGGTAGCCTAAACTCATGCATCATCCAATCAGTTTTGAGTCCTTTAGCAGCTCTACCTTTGTAAAAGACTAATGATTTCTTCAAACCAATGCACTTGGAACCTTCTGAGGAATAGATAGGTCTATCAGTACCAGTAGCTTTCCAGAATCCAGCTCCAGTTACCCTATTTGGCCTTGCACTGTTTCTGTATTTTCTGTCTCTTGGACAGTAGAAATACCACTCTTTCTCTCCTGAACTAGCAAATTCTGCATACATAAAATCATAACTTTTAAACAAGTACTTAAGCTAAGTTGAGTTTGGAAAAAAGTGCTTATAGAGATATATTGTCTTACTTGGAAGATCCCAAGGATCATATTTATAGATATCAAGCTGCTTGATGAGCTCAATAGATAGAGGTCTTTGTTGAACTTTTCTCTTTAGGTAAAAACCAACAAGCTCTTCATCAGTTGGGTGAAACCTAAACCCTGGTAATATAACTTCATCAACTTTTTCAACATCATTAATCTCTTCCATGTTGTAAAACAAGACTGAATACAAGGTGGAAAAGTCTAAGATTGTTTCAAAGAGAGGGTTGAAAGTTTTGAAAAAAACAAGAACAAAAACCCTAGAAGTGCATGATAATGGAAGTTTTGTAAACTTGGAAGAGAATGAAGAGTGAAATGAGAGTCAAGTTATAGAGTTAATTTGAAGTGATTATATGCTTCCTGATAAGGGGTATGCCACCGAAGGATCAGCCACCTTTTCTGGTGACTTTTAAAGCATTGTGTGTCTTGCGAGGATCGCTTAGATTTGGTTCATCACAATAAGCAAAGGGCAATTACTCTTAATTAAATATGAACAATTACCAAGAAAATTAATTAATTAAAAGTACTTACTACTATTCAACTCAATAAGAGTTCACTGTACTAAAGATTTATCGTACTTAATTTATTTCTTTTGTAAGTTTTATATTTCAGTTGGATTGAAATGAAGAAAGAAATATATGTGAATTTTTTAATTTATTTATCAGAGGTAAGATCGTCACTTAAACCAATAAATATTATGTTGTATTATTAGATAGGAGGATAACATGTATGTATTGACTTGATTATAGTTTTTCTACTAGTGTGATTAAGAATCGAAGGTTTTATTATGAGACAGAGACGGTTTTCAAAGTCGTTTAAACTAAAATGGTAAAACATGAGAAAACATGTCAAAGGATCAATATATTTTTATATTATTTGTTTTTGACATTTACCTAGAGTCCAAATGTTCATGCATAGTAATGTTGTATCTTCTATATCAATAGATATAATTTAAAAAGATTGATTTTATCATTAAAAAAAGATAACAACGCATTTTGTTCTCGTTTTCCTTATGTTTATGTATAATATTTTTTAGTCAAGTAATCTAGTGGTTGAAATTTTGTAGTTTAATATCTTTGCATAACTATGGTTGAAGATCCACTAAAATCTACGATGAATTTCTATTAATTTTGATGAATAATTGTTATCACTCACACAATAACGATGAAAACAAAAGGAAATTTAAAGAAGAAAAAATTAGGGTTTCTGTAAAGTTTCTCTTTGTCCACAAACTGTAAAAACAAATTTATTCACTTGCAATTGCAAATACTGTGAATGAATGAATACAAGAATAAATATTACTCTCTCTATTTATAGTTTTTGGTTAGCTTATTATCTAAGCCAAAAAGTTCAAAACTATAAAATCTCAAAATACATATTTTAAAACCAAATCAAATTTGTATAAAATAACTACTTCGATACACTATCTAGATTAATTCGACACACATACATACCGAGTATTTCGACATATCTTGTGTCGAGCGATATCCTACTTCAACATAAAAAATTACACATTTAACGGTTATCAACTAAGTTGACATAATAAAAAATTTATATAACTTTATTATATAAAAAAATAGATTTAAATTTTCTTTTATTCCTCCATGTTGATGATATTTTTTAAAATATTTTTTTAATGTTGATTTGTGTATAAGTATGACTTTGGAAATGTGGAATCTCAATAAAATGACTAATTTGTAGGTTTGGGGATTATGAATCACTTAATAACCCTTTAAACACATTAATGTCATGAAATAGTCTATATCCAAAACTACAAGTCAAGACAGTATATCAAAGTTCCATGTAATGAATAATATTTATAATGTTTGAAACTTTGAAATAACATTTGGAAACGTGGGACTGAACCAGATTCCAAAGCAGCCTCAAATATATAATTGAACTACAAATTCCACTATGACACATTTTAGATTATATTATTATAGGCTTCTTGGCATACGAAAATCCCGTTTCTATTCCATTCTCAGAGTTTCTATTCCACTGATTTTACCAGGTTTGAATCAGTTGAATAATATTATTAATCTAAGATTTCAAATAAAAACAAGCGAGCGTGTGATCTAAGTCTAAAATATATGCTTGAGGGGACCGCTTTGCCCTTATAGGAACATTATGTCCAAACTTTAAGCTCAGAAATGCATTTAGCTATTTATATTTTAATTAAGATCAATGTGTCCAACATGAGAGTTAGGTAAAACCTGTTTTCAATGCGGTGTTTCACACTATTTTCTGAGAATTTTTTTTCACCGAGTACATAACAGTAATAAACTTCTTTGAGTTTTATTTCTCACTGTTTGAATGGAACCACTAGTTTTATTGACAAGGGGTATAACACCGAAGGATCAGCCACATTTTCTGGTGACTTCTTTGAGTTTTACAACTTACTAGTGTTTTGAGGCCACTAAAAGGTTCAATTTACTTCAAGAATAATTCTTTTTAACTTACTCCAAATCATAGTCATTAAATTAAATCTAATTTAATATTAATATGTTTGTAATTAGCATTTTTACTTAGTTAATCATTCGATTAAATCTAATTTAAAGGTTAGATTTGTAGTAAGTTAAAAAAACTTACTCTTGGATCATAATCAAATGACACCAAGATGTCAAACTTAATATTATGAAACTCTCAATAATTTTTTATCGGCATATTTGTATGACAAAATTCATCGTTGCATTGAAAGTTATTATTCTTGGAAATTAATGAACCATTAATATCCATGGGCCTGTTCAAATATGACAATGTTAAAGAGGATAAAAGTGTCCTATAAATATTTACTGGTGGAAGTTGTCTTTAAATCTGTCTAAAGGAAATTTTGGTTAGTTTTTGGACTAAACATCTACTAGTGGAAGTTGCTTTTAAATTTGTCTCGAGTTACTGAAAGTTTGAATTTCGAATTCAAAATATACTAATACAACACTTCATGAAGTGGTGCATAATGTAACTATAGGCGAACCATTGCAATCTTTTACTGAAAATGTGTTGTTTCATCAAGAGTTGCAGACTTGTGAAACAATACATGTATGACCTATAAATACATTATTTAGAATCCGAAAATCAGACAATCAAATCATAAATACACTTCATCATTCCAGACACTCTTCCTTGCATTCGAGTTCTTCACCAGTCATGTGCAGACTCGATTCAAAGGCAAAATTGCCCTGGGTATTCTTGTTTTCCAAACTCTAAGACAATAAAGAGAGTGCTTGAAATACTTATAATGAAAGTGATTTTGTTCACGTTTCTAGCCTCGACCCATTTGATTCATAATCAATTTTCTAACAATCTTATAAGTATTTTGTATAATGGCAATCGAGACTTCCGTTTCAAGTATCAAAGGATAAACTACCGTGTCGAGATGCATCTACCATATAAGAACTTTAGTGGTTCCGGAAAAGATCAAACTACCCTACTAGCTTCACAACCCTCCACGTCTTCATTTTGAAATCCCTCCATGTTATCTGATTTTTGAAATGCCTTATCTCTCTTGCTACATCATCTCTTTCTCTTTCTCTTCCTTCGTCATCTTTTCCCAATCTAACGCTTTCTCTTTCTCTTCCATCTTCATCTCTCAACCTAAACTATATGCATTTTATCACTTCCTCTCTGAACCTAACAAGATTTTTGTTGAAACCCTAAGTTTGCATCTGAAATGGCGGATCTAAAGTTTAAATCGACGGTGGCGTTATGGTTTTTCAGATGGATTCATGGTTACTATATGGTGATGATGGGGGAAGTGCGACTGAAGACGGCGTTGCTTTCGTAGTCGAAAAAGGAAGCCGGAATCAATAGAGGTGTGCAATTTAGTTTGTGGTGATGCGGCAGTTGAACTGGGTGAGACACGGTGGTTTACAGCAATAGATGAAGAATGGACGAATTGCATAATAACTATTCATCGCATACGAAAACGGTAAATCAAAAGCTTCAAATTACCTGAACAGAAATGGCGAGGTCGAGTTCAATCAGTGGCAGCGCGTAGGTATTGTTCCCTCTCACTTAGCTTCTTCTACTGATTATGGAATTCGTGAGTTCGCTACGAGCTGATGGAAGTTGTTTGTTGTTCTGCTATAGGTGTGTTCGATCTGTTGTGCATTATTGGTGTCGTTTCAATGGAATTCCTGAAAGATAAAGGAAAAATTATATGCTAATTTTATTATTATTTGTTTCATTTAACTGGATAGCATGGAGGTGAGCTCACTGGCTTGCACTGCTCTTCCTGAAGAACCTGGAGCAATACCGTCTACAAAGGGTGAAAATCTCAATGATAACGTCAATACTGATGCCTGAGCAAATAAGATGGTGCGTGAATCCTGTAAGCGAGCTTCTTTTTTGTATGGGATAATTGATGAGAAGAAGAGGAATAATGATCAAGTAAATCATTATTAGTTGTTTGAAAGATCATACTTTCAAGCTTGGTAGGAGCGCTCTAAATGAATCCAATGATGCAGAAAGTTTGCATTTCTCATTCCCAATGATTGAATCCATTCATTTTTATTCTTACTGATATAATTGATTGGCTCCCAATATTGTTCTGTAATAATATCTTTGTTTGTCTTTGGTTTTTAGGCTAGCCACCTCAAATTGATCAAGCCTTACATGATTGTCGTCCAAAGCAATAATGTATCTGCTGTCAATGAAGCTCTTAATGAAGTTTATGTTGAGGAAGAGGAATTGTTTACAGTGATTTCTAGTAAACAACCACTAGTCTTCTAATTTATTGATTATTATTGGTTACTTGCAGGATCGACTAGATTGATCCTAGAACACATGTGTCATAACTCATTTCTATGTTCATACCCATTATCTTGATAAACTTATATTGTATGTTAAGTTCAAATGTGAGATTCTTAAGAAAGATCTCTAAAATTGTCTATAGGAATAAACTAACTAAATGTAGAAAGGAAAGGCTTCGAATTAGACTTAGGATTTAATGCTTGAATGTAAAGATAAGGAGTTTCTGAGAAAGTAACAGTTTCTGGAAATATGAAGTGTTTGAATACAAGGATAAAGTAAAAGTGAAGTTTCTAACAAAATGATTGTGTTTAAAGGCAAGTAAAACAAGGAAATGCAAGGAAATCGAAGGATTTAAGGGCATAAATACTGTAATAGCGAACTAAATATAAAAAGACTTGTATTGAAATTGTAAAGAATGAT